AATGTTACAGAGCTGTTGTAGTACATTTCAACTGGTCAAAACAGACACACATCAGAACAAAACACAAAAAGGCACAAAGAACTCTATTCAATTGTGTGTGGTCATAATTCCCTCATTACAGTGAGGGAAATGTTCTGGTGGTGGCGGTGTGGTTTTTAAGCTGTGCCTTATCTATTGTCCCTGCTCTGTCTAAAATGCAGGCAATTTCAGCTTCCAGGCAATTTGCAAAACCACAGACTTCACCTATGAAAATACGTAAGCATGACCTACGATATCACCACTTTGGGAAACTACAATCACACCATCTTAAGCTTTTGGAGTCAGGGTTACTCAAGGCAGTGCAGCATTTTAGGAGTGCAAAGGACCTCCAGGGCACGCCCATTTTAGTTCTGGCATGAAGGAACGAAGTGAAGGAACGAAGAAACGTTGGCCCGGAGAGGGTGACTTGCCAGAGAGGACAGCACTAGCAGGCAAAGCTTGCTCCAGAGCCCAGGTCGGCTGCGCCATGGGTCATATTCTCAATGTCAGGCTGTGCCTTAGGGCAGTGATTCTCAAAACTGTGCAAGCCTCCGAATCACCTGAGGGCTTCTTAAAAACTGCCCCACTGGCTCCGCCTCCAGAGCTGGGAGTCGCTAGGGCTGGGGCAGGTCCAGGAATTCGCCTAACCAGTTCGCAGGGGATGCTATGGACACCGGTGTGGGGGCCCTACTCTGAGACGCGCTGACCCAGGACTGAGGAACCGGGGCTTTCGGCACCCAACACAGCTGACCGCCGACCCGACTTGTGCCACTTGTGTGACTCCTGGAAAGACTCCCAAAACTCCGAGGGCCTCAGTGTCTGACATCTGCGTCCAGGGGCGAGGAATAAAAAACAAAATGTCCATAAAGCACTAGCTTCGCCAAGCACCTGGCACATTCTAAAGCAAGTGCTTAGCTTATATCCTACAGCAAAGTTAACTGAATTACCTTTTTTTCTTTTTCCACATATCCTAGGATGGCTACAATTCAAATGACAGACAAGATTAAAGACTGGCAAAGATGCAGAGCAACTGGAATATTTTTGGCACCTATATTCATAAGAGCGAAAAATGGTAAACAGTCCAAAGTCCAATGACAAGCAAAACTATTTTAAAAACCGGTGTGTGTGTATATACATACCCATATATACACACATACCGACGATGGAATACTACTCAACAATAAAAAAGAACAATGAGGGGTGCCTGGCTGGCTCAGCCGGTAGAGCACGTGACTCTTGATCGTGGGGTTAAGTTTGAGCCTCACGATGGGTAAAGAGATTACTTAAAAATACATAAATAAATATATAAATACTTAAAAAAAGAACAATGACACAATATGAAATCTCCAAAATATTTTGAGTGAAAAAAGTCAGACACAAAAGACTACATATGGCATGATTTCATTTATATGAACTTCAATAATAGACAAAATTAATCCGTGGTACAGGAAATCAGATAGCCTTTGCCTCTGGAGGAAGTGTGAAGAACTGACTGGAAAGGAACAGGAGGGAAATTTCTAGAGTAATGGAAATGTTCTATATCCTGATTTGGGTGAAGATAAAATGAACATAGGGGCGCCTGGGTGACTCAGTCGTTAAGCGACTGCCTTCCGCTCTGGTCATGGTCCCCAGGGTCCTGGGATGGAGCCCCGCATCGGGCTCCCTGCTCCGCGGGAAGCCTGCTTCTCCCTCTCCCACTCCCCCTGCTGGTGTTCCTGCTCTCACCGTGTCCCTCTCTCTGTCAAATAAATAAATAAAAATCTTTAAAAAAAAAAAAAAAAGATAAAATGAACATATACATTTGTCAAAACTCATCAAACTATATACTAAAGACCTGTGCATTTCACCACAAGTAAATATATACTTACAAAGTATAAAGTATATGCTATATTTTATAAATAATATACAAAATAACTTTTTTTCAAAATAACATATTTTATGTAACATATATATGTATCTGTAAATTTTTTTAGGCACTTTGTGACAAAAGACTGCCTTCGCATCTGAAATGAACCACGTTCTAGTGATCCCAGAATCCTGGGATCAAGCCCTCAGTTGGGCTCTGGCTCAGCAGGGGGCCTCTTTCTCCCTCTCCCTCTGCCAGTAGCTCCCCCTGCTTGTGCTCTCCCTCTCTCTCTCTCTCTGTCAAATAAACAAATCTTAAAATAAATAAATAAAATAAAATAAAATAAAAATGAACCAAGTCCAACCTGGTGGATCCACTTAGCTTGGTTCCTTCACAATCCAGTCCTACTTCATATATTACCATTTGCTACAGACTATTTTAGTCTGTGCATCTTTCCAGGGAGCTGCCATGAAATAGACAGCAGAATTTTCTCCCACAAGAAGACCATGACATTTCCATACAGACGGCACCCAGAGTTCCCTGTCTCTGGGAGTGGCTAGCTCAGGGTGCAGACAACACAAAAGTAACATTTTCCTTTACCACATACCAAGGATGAGTCTATCTAATATGATTACAACATAGTAATGAAGACATAGTAAGAGCAATCCTGTCATATAATTTAAATCATATTCTTGCTACGAAGGGGACAGAAGACTAGTGAAATGCTTCCTAGTGTCATGTTTCTGTAATGAAGATGTTGGAAGAAGAACTGTGCCCATGTAATTATCCCATAAAATAGTAGCTTTCACACTGCAGTGATTCCAGCCACATCTTTATGCTATCCTGAGTAGAACAAGTAGATTTACACACGCACACACGCACGCACACACGCACACACCTGCTAGGAACAATCCTATGCAGCACACAGAATGGTTCTGGGTCAAGGGAAATAACATTTGGAGACACTACAGTTTCCTCTCCATCCAGAGGGGTCTGATTCCAAACACACTTGATTATCTGACCCACCCTTCCTAAGTTCCATGATGAGGCACAATGCCTCTTGGATCTTTGATTACTGGTGGACAGAAGAGGTTCAGCCACATGCAGCATATTGCATGTTAAAAACAAGCCCCCATACAGGACCCACTAGACAGAAAATAGACGGATAGGTACCCCTGCCTGTCCTTCCGCCAACTCTTTCTCCAAAACACCCCTGCACCGAGACGTGTGGCTGCTCCCATCAAATGCTTTGACACGGTGTTTCCTCTACAGTTCTATTAAGTCCAAACAATCCAGGTACTGGCATTGAATTCATAATCCAGGTTCCAAACACCAAGAGCTAGGCTTAGAAATAAATCACTGGTCAAATTCAATTAAACATAATAATAGCTCATCTTCTTTGGGAACTTGCTATGTGCCAGGCCCTGTTCTGCACACTTTCCACTTATTAGCTTATGTAAATACCTAAATGAAAGCCAGGTTACAGATGAGGACACACTCTCAGGGAAAGGAGGTGCTAGACCTCAAGCAAAGCCTGGGGAAATGCACAATGAATGAGGCACAGTCTCTTGTATGGAAATGAGAAGAGGGGCCTAACTCAGAGTTCAGAGTAAGTAAAAAACTACAAAGTACACATTTAGGGGAGCCCAAAGGAAGAAGGGTTTGTTCAGATGCTGGAGGACTTCCTGGAGGAGGTGTCCAAGTGGAAGATGAGGACATAAATGACAGGAGCTTTTCGTTAACTGTCTATTGCTCCCCAAACTACCAAAAGGCCTGATAATTCCTTCTGCCCCCTCCTCTGTTTCATCCGGAACAGGCCTTTTTCCAAGGATCTGCTCAGCCCAGCCCTCCTTTCCTTTAACACATTCCTCCAGCTGCTACTTGCCCTTCCAGGCCCTCAGGCACATATGGGAACTTTTCACCACACTCAACTTTGCCACCTCCTCTGGTGCTTTCATGGAGGGGAACCTGTGTCACAGTACTTGGTGGTGCAAGTGATCCTTTAAGGGAATCAAGTCCTTCTCTGTTGGACTGATAATAGGGACAGCCTTTTGCCTGAACCAAACTGAGATGCAAGGGACTCCCCACCACCAGCAGTCATCAAAGACGTGGGTACTTCTCTATAGGCTTCTAAGAGAGGAATCTGCCTTCACTCCCTCCCCAGAAATCAAGCCCTCCAGTCCAGGAGGGTCATCCCCTACCTCTTCCTCCTCCGCTTGCATTAAGGACTCAAATCCTCACTTCTGATACCTGTGTGACCTTGGGCAAGAAACTTATCCAATGTCAATCCCGGTTTCCTTACCTGTAACCTGGGGTTTATAAAAACAACTCGCTCTCAGAATTGTGAATCAGAATAAAACAGCCAAGGAAAGCATTCAACACAGATCCTGGCACGTAGTAAGCTAACAGCGAAGAGAGTAGCTACCATTATCATTATCAACGATTACGATGGTGATGGTGGTGGAGGCAGCAAAAATTTGGGCTTGATTCGCGCGGACAGAAATACTCCTTCTTTCCCTCCCCCCACGCCTGGGGCTGGGCCACACGACCGAGACACATGCGTCATCCAGCTCCGGGGTGAATGCAGGATCTTCAGGCGGCGGGCACAGGAACCGCAGGGCGGTCGTACCCCAACCCACCTGGAGGGATATCGGGTGAAGCCGATTTCGTGATGGAGGAGGTCAGTAACCACAGACCCTTCTCGTTCATACCCATTCTCCGGGCCTGTGAACCGATAAGTGGCAACAGAATGCAGCGCCTGCGCCTGCTGCATCACTCCCCAGAGGCGTCCGGAGACCGTCCACTTTGCCCCTGCCTCAGTTTCCCAACTCTCCTCCCGGCACAGGCGAAGCTGCGCTGCACTTGGTGGCTGAGATAACAGGTTGGCAAACCAGGCCTGGGAAAAGTCTCCCAGCGTCCCGGCGCAAATCCAACCCCTTCTTTCCAACGCAGGTGGGCAAACAACCCACCATCTTTCAACAACTTTGCTTATTTCACCACGACAGGGCGCACGGCCCCGACTTCCCCTCTAAGCTGCGCTCGGAGGAGGAACGCGGGAAACCGAGATGCGGCGGGGGGCACTCCGCAGGCCTCTCCCCGTTTTGCGGGCGCCTCCCGGAGGCGCGTCCCGTCTTACCTTGTCTGACGGCTTTGAAGGTGACGGCCTCCTTGCAGCTGTCGATGACTCCCAGCACGTCATAGCGGGGCAAGCCGGACACCCGGATCCCCTGCACCTCCAGAAGCAGCTCCCCTTCGCCCAGCCGAGGGCCCTCGCCGCCGCCGGGAAGCCCCGCCGCTTCAGCCGCGGCCACCGCTCCGACATACGGAAACTCCCCATTCTCCGCGCCCCCCAGCACCGTCACCCCCAGCTCACCCTGGGGTCCCCGCTTCACGGTGCATTCGTGAACCTTGCTAGTCCAGTGGTTCTTCTTCTGGATCACTCTCGACATGATGGGTTACACCCCTCCTCCCCACCCTAACACAAAAAAATAATAATACAATGAGAGACAGGTGCCCCCCACAGCACAAGCCCCCAAGCCCCCGCTGGCTCATGGGAGAGACATCTCCCCCAAAATAACGCAACGGGAGAGAGAAACTTGGCAGCCTCGCTCCCCTGCACACACTCGCGCACTCAAGCCATCATAAAACAAACTTTCTGAGCTTCCCCGCGAGCCCTGCACAGGCGCCCGTGAGCTTTGTTTGCATTCCGGTGCTTCTCGGTCCACGTTCCGGCGCCGGATCGTTCTCTCCCGGACCAGAGTCCACTCTGCGCCGCTTGGGTTATTTTTTTTTTCCCCTCCCTTCCTTCCTTTCTTGCCTCTTAGAAATGCGGTGTCTCCTTTTTGCCTCCCGCCTGGCTCGCCTTTCCTCGCTGGCGGGCTGTTCCTGAGGGTGAGGGAAGCCCTTCCAGCCAGTTGCTGGGAGCCCTGGAGACGCGGTTGCCGAGCTGGGGTTGGTGGGGGGGACCAGAGGGAAGTGCCTGCGGCCCCTTTAAGCAGATACAAAGGCTCGGCTTGTTTTGTTACAGTTCATTCTATTCCGCGCCGCCGAGCGCAGCGGCCGGCGAGGAGACGCGCGCGCATGCGCTCCGCGGCCGCCTGCCGGCCGGCCCGCCCCACCTCTCCTTCCCGGAGGGAGAGATTCCAGTGTGCTTCCCGTTGGGTCCTAAAACCGATCCTCCAGAAAGCAATTTAGCCCCCTCCACGCACCCCTCTCATTCCTCCTTTTCTCTCCTTGCCCTGGAGTCAGCTAATCATTTGGGGGTAGGGGCATGTGCACGTGTTTTACTCCGACTGTTTGCAACTTTTGAAATATGGTCAATCTGGTTTTGGCATTTTAAAACCATTTCAAACAGGTGGGGGTTGGGGAGGCTCACACACTCACCCTCGCGCTCACACTCACGCACACACGCACGCACTCACGCCGGCCTAAGCCTCCTCACCGCCCTCGGCCAGTGGCTGGCCACGCTGTCGGTCACCCTGCCGGGCTTGTCCACCCCCGCCCCACCCCCCGCGGTACTTCCCTCTAGTACTCCGGAGCCGGACCGGACCTGGAGGCGCGCCCCTGCTCCTTGCCTGCCTGCGCCCACCGGTTCGGGTCCTGGAGCTGGGACTGCCAGTGTCTTCTGTGACCCTGGGTCCTCTGGCCCTCTACCTGGGATCCCTGCGAACTTTGGGATACCCTTAAACTTTGGAGCCAACTTTTTAGGACACAGGGAAAACTATAGTCAGGGAAAGAAGCCAAATGGCTAGAGGGGGTTCAAGTCTTCAACCTAAAAGGGACCTAGCTTTTTAACTCTTTCCAGCAAAGATTTTTGGAGCCAGTCATATATCCCAGGCTCAAGTTCCTGACTGGAGCCGAGAATCTTCGGACCCGCCCCCGGACCAGGAGATTAGGATCACCCACTGGTCTGCGATCTGCACCCGCGCCCAGGCGCCCGCGGGGGCGGGGGCTAGGCAGCCACCTCCCGGAATTCACAGCCCGGGGATCGGTGCCGCCCTGGGGTGCGAGCCGAGCGAGTGTCTATCCCTGCTAGGTTTCGGAATGAGCTTGGGGGCTGCGGACAGAAAGAATAGTCTGGACCGGGAAGGCTGCCCTCCCCAAATAGCACCCAAATCGAGAGTCTCCTGAGCAATCTCTTTTCCTCAGTGATTTATAACATGTATGTTCATCAGTGGTCACAGAAGAGATTCCAAGTGCTAAACAAGGGAGGGAGGGGGAGAGACTCGGAAAGGATGGGATGCCGCTGTGGTCGGGGTTGAGAGCCCGGCTATGCTGTAGGTTCCAGCTGGTCCTATCTCTGTGTGACCTTGAGCAAGCTCCTTGACCCATCAGAGCCTTCCTCTCTCCCCTGCTAAGTAAGTATAACAATACCTTACAAGGTTCTTGGGAGTATTACATAGGAGAACACTTGTAAAGTGAATACGTGTAAAGTGGCATATAATAAAAACTTATATTAGTGGCAGTAGTAGTAGTAGTAGTAGTAGTAGTAGTAGTAGTAGTATTTGGAAAAACAATTAGGAAATCATTTGGGGGTCTCAAGTTAGATGATGATGATCATTCCTCCTCATTTTTCTAAACCTTAAAATATATAGGCACACACTTAAATGTTTTGGAAGGACTGTTTGTAGGGTGCTATTCTAAGCTAATGAAAATAAGGGAAGACTGTTGATGCTTCTCTCCTGGGATATTCAGAACTGAAAATCCCATTGCCTAGTATTTGTGCAAGAAGGAAGTGGCCACTTCTTCCTGGCTCTTAGTGAGGGAAATTTCATCTCCACTCTCTTTTCAAAGAAGCATTCAGTTTGTCTCAAACTTAACCGAATCAGAATGAGTGGGAGCTTTAAAACTTTATTCCCAAGCCCTATCACAGATCCAACCAATCAGAATCTCAGGAATGGGTGCTCTCCTCTGGACTTTTCAGATCCCCCCTGCAGCGGTGCTGGTACACAACGCTGAGGACCACAGGTCTAGCATCTTGATTCCTGAGCATTTTTAAAACACAGAACCTTTTGGAGAATAAATCTATGGTCCACATCATCCTCTAGAGTGTAAGCTCCAGGAGGGCTGGGAACTTTGGCAGTTTGGTTTACAGACATGTCCTCAGTTCCTAGAACCATGTTTTGTACCTAGTCAATGCTCAAGTATTCGTTGAATGAATATCCCCATAAAAATGCACATTTTGGCATACCATCTTAAAATGGAGTCACAAATGCCCCTACAAATCACTAGTAAGCTTGATCTTGTGTGTTTTTCCCCTCCTCCCCGCTCCATATTTTAGTAGTCTGATTGCCTGCCAAGAGTCCCCCACCTACCTGGAATCAGTGGCTCTCTACCTCCCGCCTGGAGCAGTCTAAAGGATGAGGCCAAGTGCTTCACAGGTCCTCCCACGACAGCAGTTACCATCTTCCTTCCCCACGGTGCCAAGTGTCCCTGCCGCTGAGAAGGGGAAAGGACCAGGAATTTAGCATCCTTCAGATTTCAGATGTGGAATAACCCCCAGAAAAGAAGGGATACATGAAGGTACAGAGGGCAGAATGGAGAGAGGTATAGAGAGACACATTATAAACCCAGGAACATAAAATAACTCGGACCTCCAAAGCAGCTAAAACCACCCATTTCCAGGTACTAAGTTTATGATGTTCCCAAACTTTCTTCTCCTCCTCCCACCCTTTTTGTGTCTGCTGTTACACGCAGTCCAGTTCCTGTGGCCCAGTCTAGAAGCAGGGAAGAAATCATATGTATCCTATCCAAACTTTGAGTTCTTAGCACCTAAACCCATGCCTTGCTTGGAAGATGCCCCATACACACTTGTTGAATGAGTATGTAAATGCACAGATCAAGTATGACATTAAACTGGGGCTCCTCGCTGGCTTAGTCAGTATAGAGCATATGACTCTTCATCTCAGGATTGTGTGTTCGAGCCCCATGTTGGGTGTAGAGATTACTTTAAAAAAAGTGTAATATTAAACTATAAGTATGTGGCCTTTGACAAAATCCATTTAGATTTGGTGACTAGAATTAAGGTATTTATAGATTGCTTTCTTGAAAGTAGATTTTTCTTGAACAGAGGTAAAATGGGATCCAAGTGTTTTGGCTTCTTTCACTTCTGCTATGACTTTGGCAATATATTTCAATGGAGAAAATAATACCGCAAAATATCTAACTTTGAGACTTACCATATGCGCCAGGATCGTTCTGTGATTTAATCATCACAACTGTGTGAGGTAGGTAGGACTTGGATTTTACATGAATGAACTTGATTTTACAATTGAGGAACATGAAACAAGTAAAGAAACTTGCTCCCAAGCATGGAAGTGACAAAGCTAGGGTACCAATCCAGAGGCATAATCCAAAGTCCATACTCAGAACCACTGCACTGTGAAAGTGTATGATATGGCCATCTGCCATTTAGCATATTTGAGGAACAGCATCTTTTTGGCTCCTGAATCTGCCACATAGTTGGTGCACCCTAATTAAGTCACCCTCCTATCTCTTCCCTATAATCTGATGGAATATGCTGTCCCACTCTGGAATCCAATCTCCTGTTCCCCACCCACAGACTCAAAATGAATAATGTACTGCGATGTAAAGGGGATTAATTTGCAAATATTTCTAAATTGTTTGGAGAACTGTGGGCTGTGGTACAGGTGATGTGCCAAACATCCTTATATTGTTATTGCACAAGCATTTCAACAATGAAATCTTAAGAAACACAGTAGATTCAGGTGAGAACTAAACTGTAATACAATAAACTCTACACAAATTAAGGTATTTTTTTTTAAAGATTTTATTTATTTGAGAGTGAGAGCACAAGCAGGGCGGCGGGGGCACGAGGGAGAGGGAGAAACAGGCTCCCCGATTAGCAGGGGGCCGACTGCGGGGCTTGACCCCAGGACCCTGGGATCATGACCTGAGCCAAAGGCAGGCACTTAACCAACTGAGCCATCCAGGTGCCCCACAAATTAAGGTCTTATTTTCATATAACTTTTCCACTAAAGGGAAGAAAAAAAACCCACAAATACAATATGTACGTCTCTCTTCTCTCTCCCAAATACGTATCTTTCCAAATTTTTCCGGTTGTGATTAAAGAAATTTACCATGGCAGTCTAAGGTGGCATTCTACTTCATTTTCCTAATAGCGGGAGGATGGGAAATGAGCTGGTCAGCTCTGGGGCAGAGGAGGACATATAAATTGGTTATCTTTTAATTTCTGAAGAATGCCATCAAGAGGCATAAATTATAGATATCAAGATAAACACTCTGTATTCAATAAGGTAACTGACTCCATACTGGTGATTTAGAGCAGAAGACGAACAGAGAAGGTTGAAGCCATTAGTTGAGAAGGAAGGGAAATGGCGATGGGAGCCATTTTCCTAGTCATCTGTGGGAGGCACTTTTATGATTTACTTGATAACTTATTCTTTTCTGCACAGGGGCAGCAGATGGGTGTTTTTCTCTGACTGTAGTACTCCTCCCTTCAGTACTTTCAGATAGGCAAGAATAAATAAAATGGTAATTCTTAGGATCTTTCAAGACATCACACATGAACTATTCTTTTAATACCCGTGAAGAGTAACTTCAGGAAAAGGGTCTAATCCTGGCTACTGTTGTAGTTTGCTTCTATGTGAAAAATAAATACTAATAACTACAAGATTTGAAATTTGATGTTGGGTTGGAGGAGCCAAGAGAAACCCAAGAATTTATCATGGGAATCTCCCCTAAAATTTCACAAATGTTTCACTATATAAAACACAAAGTAGCATCCTGCATAATTCCCCCCAAAATACACCTGTTGATAGTGTTCATTTCCTTGGGAACAAGCTATTTGCATTCTTTGATAACAGACATGTGTATCTCCTTTCTATTTCCCACCAACTCTGAAAATATAGTCATCGGAGTATGGTAGATGCTTAAATAATACAGGATTTTATTGTTGAAGTTGTTCGTGCTCTATATTTTTTCTTTATTTTAGATATTTAATAGTTTAC